CGGCCGCTCGAACGTCCTCTCGACGCTCGCCGCCTACGCTCAAGGGCAGCTCGACTCGCTCCGGAGCCTGCCGCCGGCACCGCTGCCATTCCAGGACAGCTTGTCCGAGATCAACTTGCAGAAAGAGGTCTCGCGCCTGTACTCGCAGGCGACCCAGATCTTGCTCCCCAAGAGCGCCAAGCCGCACGACCTGGTCCGCAAGATCGACACGCTCTACGAGCACGCGACGAGCTTCGTCAAGCAGTACCCGTCCGACAAGGTCGACAAGGAGGTCACGCCGTACAAGCTCCTCGCGGCAGCAGCCTCGGCCTCCTCGAGCTCGCAGATCGCGCAGTGGTGGAACGGCCCGGGCAAGACCATTGAGTGGGCCGAGCACCTGTTGGCGGCCAAGCGTCGCCTCCTCACGCACATTGAGGAGACCGTGCAGCAGGTCAGCGAGCGCTTCACCGAAGCGGCGAACAGCTTCGACTGGCTCAAGGAGTACCGCAACGATGACGACGTCGCGGTCCTTCCCTCGGTCATGTACGCCGCCAGGCTGTCGAGCATCCTCGCCGACGTCCCAGGCGAGCTCGGCACCGGCAGCTGGCCGTTCGCCGTCGCGGCAAAGGCGGCGCTCCCTCACTGGCTCGACGTCAGGTTTGACTCGAGGAAGGAGGAGGACCCGCTCGAGATTTTGGCGGCCATCAGGCGCCTGCCCAAGGACGCTTTCCGCAAGCGCAACGAGGCGCTCGCCGAGATGCGCACCGAGATGAGCGCGCTCGTCGCCGCGAACCGGCCTGCCGCAGCTGCGAGCGGGGGCGCGCTCCCAAACCTCGCTCAGGCCTTCCGCTCGACCGGCAGCACGGCAGCCTACGCTCCGCTTCCGAGCGAGCGACCTGCCGCGCAGCAGGGCAACATCATGCCGCGCTACTGGGAGAAGCTCTCGAACGACGAGCGCCGCAGCTTCTTGCTCGCGCAGGTCAACCTGATCAGCTTTGCCGACTTGCCCACCAGCCGCGACAGCTACACAAGGCCGTCGCCTCCTTCGTCCAGACGCACGGCACGTCGCCGCCGCTCTCGGCAAGTTCCCGCTCACGCCGGGCACGGCGTCAGTCCCGTCGACGGCGTGCGACAAGTGCAGCCTCGTCGGCCACCTGAGCTACGCCTGCAAGTCGACGTCGCCCGTGCCTGCGGCCAAGCGCAACTACCGTCGCCAGTGGCGCATGGTCGAGTCCGAGAAGCGCGCCAAGTCGCGCGAGCGCGACCCGCCCAACTGGTTCACCAAGCCTGACAGGCAGGTCAACTTGCTTGGCGAGGTCGACGAGCTCATGTGGTACGAGGAGGACCTCTTCTACCCGTCGCAGGACGACATCGACGCGTCGCTTGTCGAGGCGGGAAAAGCCTGAGGGTGAGCCGCACGGACCGCCAGCTCACCCCGCCAAGTTCCCCAGGTCCAAGCACCGCGCCTGCCGCCGAGAGGAGAGAAGGTCCTCCCGGCGGCCTGCCTGCGTGCAGCAAAGATAGTATACCCACCGAGAACACCTCGCTTGTCCAGCTGCTCAGCACCGAACTCTCTCATTTCCTGCACCTCCCTTCCTCGCGCCCCAAGTTGGGCCTCGCCCAGCAAAACTGGAGGTGGACGGCGAACTCCTTGCGAGACGAGCTGCGCGGACCGGGCGAGAGACGTGAGCAACTGGCTGCAATGCAAGAGAGATCTAACAAGGCGCACCTGAGCGGACCGGGCGAGAGACGTGAGCAACTGGCGAGGAAAGCCTGCTCCCGTCCTCTCGACGCCGGTCGCTCACCCGAGCTTCTCGGCTGCTCCGCCCGCCCCTCGCTCCGCAGCTCCGGCGCGCCCTCCCTGAGGCCTGAGCGTCCCACGCTCGCACCCTCCCTCGCGACGGAGCTCCCTCAGCCCGCAGCGGAGCGTGAAGAGCTCGTGCTTGGCGCGCCCAAGCCCCTTGGTGAACACGTCGGCGACCATGTTGTCCGTCTTGACCCATTTGAGCTCGAGGACGCCCTCCTCGACGCGCTCGCGGGTGTAGTGATAGTGGACGCCGATGTGCTTGGTGCGCGAGTGGGCGGACGGGTGCTTGGCGAGGATGAGAGCGCCCGTGTTATCGCCTCGGATGACGGTCGGGCCCGTCGTCGCGAAGCCCAGCTCGGCGAGGAGCGCTCGGAGCCAGACCGCCTCGCGGGCCGACTCGCTGAGAGCGACGTACTCGGCCTCGCACGAGCTGATCGCGACGCTCTTCTGGCGGCGGGAGAGCCACGAGATGGCCGTCGAGCGCAGCGAGTCGTCGCCGACGCCAAAGACGAACCCGGACACGGACCGACGAGTGTCCTTGTCGGCGCCGTGGTCGGCGTCGCTCCATCCCGTGAGGAGCGACGAGGAGAACGCGCCGGTCTCGGGCGTCTGGTACACGAGGCCGAGCGACATCGTGCCGGCGAGGTACCTCGCGACGTGCGTGAGCATCGACCAGTGGCGCTTTGCGGGGCACACGGCGAAGCGGCTCGCGAACGAGAGCGCGAACGCCAAGTCCGGCCTCGTGCACGCCGACAGGTAAACGAGCGCGCCGAGCAGTTCTCGATACGGGCACTCGAAGCGCTCAGACTCGTCGGCGGCGGCGAGAGACGAGTACGACGAGTCGAGGGGCGTCGCGACCGGTGAAAGACCGTTCGGGAAGAACCGCTCGAGGACGGCTCGGGCGTAGTGGCCCTGCGAGAGCGCGACGGACCCATCCTCCTTGCGCTCGAAGCGCATGCCGAGGAAGAGCCCGGGCTCGACGCGCTTGAGCTTGCCCGACAGGCGCTCGTTGAGCTCGGCGATGATCGCTGAGGGGTCGTCGTCGCCGATGATCTTGCCGTCGTCGACGTGGACAGGGACGAACGCGACCTTCCCAAGTCGACGACGCACGTACAGGCCGTGGTCGTTCTCGCACCGTGAGAACCCGATGTCCTCGAGCGCCGTGCGCAGCACCTTTTGCCACTCGGCGCCCCCTTGTCGGAGCCCGTAGAGAGCCTTCTTCAGGAGGCGGGCCAAGCGAGGGCGAGTCGGGTCGACGAAGCCCGGCGCCTGCGCGAGGTAGATCGGGCGGTCGAGCTTGCCGAGGAGGGTACGCGTTCGAGACGTCGAACTGGGCGACGGTGTACGACGGGTGCGCAGCGAGGATGGCGAACAGGAGGCGGCAGGTAGTGAGGCGGACCGTCGACGAGTGTGTGTCGCCAAAGTTGAGGCCCTCGACCTGCTGGTCGCCTCGGGGCGACAAGTCGCCGCCTTGTACTTGACGACACGCCCTTCTGCGTCGCGCTTGATGACTAGGACCCACTTGGCGCCCACAGCGCGACGTCCTGGAGGAAGGTCGACGAGTTCCGGCTCCCACGTGCCCGTCGCCTCGAACGCTGCGAGCTCGGCGTGCATGGCCTCGAGCCACTTCTCGGCGTCGGGTCGAGCCATCGCCTGCGAGTACGTCGGCTCGTCGAGGCTGCCCGACCATGCTGCGAGAGCTCGCTCGGCGCTCGCGAGTAGCGACGTCTCGCTCGCCTCGTCGGCGGCGTCGACCTCGGCGGCTGCGACGGCGTCCTCGTCCTCGTCGAGGGACGTGTCGTAGACGGCGAGCGCGAGGAGGGGCTGGGCCGCAGGCCGTGGGCCCGAGAGCGGCGCCGTCCGGAGCGCGCGAGGAGGCGAGGGCGGGCCGAACGTCTCGAGCGAGATGTAGCGCGCCGCCGGCGCACCCGCAAGGTCGCGGAAGAAGGGCAGGCTTGCGCCCTTGACGCCGGCGAGGCGCTGCGACCGGCGGCCCGTACCCTCCCTGAGCGCGGGCGGCGGTGCGTCCTGGCGCACGGGCCTCTGCTGCGCCGGCCCAGGCTGCTGCGCCGGCCCAGGCTGCTGGGCCGGTGGCGGCTCGCGCTCCTCCTGCGCCTCTGCTTGGCGCTCCTCCTGCGGCGGCTCGTCGGTCTGCCCGCGCTCACGAGGCGCGGCTGGTTGCGGCTGCGGCTGCTGCGCCGCCTGCCCCTCGGCTTGCTCCTCCTGCGCCGGCATCTCTTGCTCCTCGGCTCCTTCTCCTCCTCCTGCCGGCGCAGGCGTGTGGTCGCACGCGGCGAGCAGATCGAAGCCGTCGGCCGGCGCGAACTGCGACAGGCGCTCGTCGAGAGGCTCGTCGCCGGGAGGCCCGTCCTCGCGCCACCGAGCGACGTTCCACCAGACGACGACCTTGCCCCAGCTCGGCACCCAGAAGAGCCAGCCCTTCTGCGACGTAGGGTAGCCGACGAAGCGAGCCTCGACGGCCCGGGGCGCGAGCTTGTGCGGGCGGCGAGTGCCCTCGGTCGGGAGCGCGAGCCAAGCGTGGCAGCCCCAGACCCGCAGGTGGTCCAGGGGCGCCGCACGGCCATAGTAGAGGTCGTGCGGGGCGCTCTTGTCAACGAGCACCGACGACGGCGTCCGGTTGTGGAGGTAGACGGCCGTGTCGAACGCGTGCGGCCAGAACGACAGCGGCATCTTTGCCCCGGCGAGCATGGCTCGCACCGTCGAGAACAGCGTGCGGAAGCGGTTCTCGACAAAGCCGTTCTGGTGGACGTACGCGACGCTGCGGCGGTGCTCGATGCCCCTCGAGCGCAGATGCGTCGCGACGGTCGAGTTGATGAACTCGGTGCCGTTGTCGCTCTGGAGCGCGACGATGAGCGAGCCGGTCTCGCGCTCGAGACGCCTCGTCAGGTCGACGAGGACGTGCGGGATGGCCGCCTTTGACGGCAGCGCGAACCCCCAGGCGTAGCCCGAGAACCGGTCGACGACAAGGAGCGCGAACCGCTCGCCGAGTCGGCCGTTGACGGGCGCCGGGCCCCAGGTGTCCGTCACGAGTCGCTCGAGTGGACGTGTCGGGGGCAGGTCGGTCGACTTGGTCGCGACGCCGGTCTGCGTGGCCTTGGCGAGGACGCACAGCTCGCACGAGGAGGACGGGGACCCAACCATCGTTGCACCCTCCCTTCTACTCAACAGCCACCTTAAGCGCTCGTCTGAGGGGTGACCAAGGCGGCCGTGCATGAGGGAGGAGTCAGCAACGGCCGCGAGCGCTGAGGGGGCTGAGGAGCGGGGCGGACTTGCCTTGAGGGCAATAGTCGGGGCGAGCTTGAGGTTGGCGAGCGTCTTGCCCTGGCGGTCGGCGAGCTTGAGCGACGACGACGTGTTGCTGATCTTGAAGCCCGACATCATGAGCCGGTTGAGCGAGATCAGGTTGACGCCGAGCTTTGGGACGAGCATGACGTTCTCGAGCCGGAGCGGCCCGCCCTCAAGCTCGAGCGTGACCGTGCCCTCGCCCTCTGCGTCGCCGTGGCTGCCGAACGCTCCGCCGACAGGGCGCGGCGCCGAGTACGGGCGATAGTCGGCGAGGTCGGCTCGGCGCGTCGTAAAATGACGCGTGGCGCCGCTGTCGAGCACGTAGCGGCCCGAGGCGGCGTCGCCAGCTGCCGCTCGGTACGCCGCAGCGTCGTCGTCGCCGACGACGAGGCCGGCGTAGTCGCCGAGCGAGGCGTGCCCGGACGTGACCGCGAGAGCGCGCACCGCGTCACGGTCGAGCTGCGCGTCGCCGCTCAAGTCAAGCACCGCGAGGGCGTGCGCGTCGGCGAGCGGCACCGTGATGCGGTCGCGCGCGAGCTCGGCGACCCGGGAGCGGTCGCGTGCGTCGCCGGCTGGGACGGGGCACTGCGAGATGCGGTGCCCGTCCTGGAAGCAGCCGAAGCACGTGCCGGGAGGGATCTTGAAGCGCTCGCGCCCGGCGGCGTCGGTGAAAGTCGAGCCGCGCCACTTGTCGTACCCGGCGTAGCGCTTGACGTCGATGCGCTCCGACTTGCTCGAGCTGCCGCCGCCGCCGTGGCCGCGCCGTCCCGAGTCGCGCCTTGGCCCGCCGCTGCGAGGTGGGCGAGGGTCGGTGCGGTAGGCGCTGCTCGCGTCGCGCTCTGGGGGCGGCGCGTGGTGGTCGTGGACGGCGAGGGCGCTGACCTGGCGGGCGGTGATCTCGACGAGCGCGTCGCGAGCGACCTGCTCGGCGTACTGGGCGATCACCTTCTCCTTAACGTGCCAGTACGTGAGCGCGCGCTTGTTCGAGCCGACCGGGGCGAGCGAGGCCGTGTACTCGGGCGGGATGAGCGCCTGGACAAGGTCCCGGAGGACATTCATTGAGATGGCTCGCTCGAGGTCGGCGCGTGTGTCGACGTTGTCCTGGTCCTCGCTCGCCTCGGCGTCGGCCTGGTAGGACGAGTTGAGCTGGTCGACGAGGCCCTCGAGGGTCGAGAAGAAGACGTAAGGGTCGGTGTTGCCGTTCCACTTGGTCGACATGATGGTCGACAGGATGACCGCCTTCTCGACGCCCGTGTCCGACTCGCTGAGGCGCTTGAGGATCTTCCACAGGCC